CGACCCCCTGACTTTTCCAGTTAAAATATAGATTTTGTAAGGAGGTAAGGGGCACAACAGGAGCTCGGAATTATATTATAATTAGCGATCCCTAAACTACACTCGGCGTATAAGACGATCCCTCCCTTGGGAGCAGAAATTTATGGTGTGAAAAGTCGTCTTATACGCCGGAAAATACGGTAGATATAAACAGGTGATAAGCTAAGTGCTAAAAAATAAAGAGGTAGAATGGGGGGAAGATATATTAAGAAAGGAACTAAAGATAAGAATAAGACTAGTGTTCAAATAAGACGAGACCAAATAGGTAGAAATTAAGAAAGAGAAAGACTTCTGGCCTCACCTGGCAGATAGGTATCTCCTCAAAAGGCATAACGCCCTGTTCTCTTTCTTCCCTTGAGTTGTAGAAAGCCAGGATAAAAGGTCTCAGAACGGCGTATTTAGGCGTCCAGATAAGCTTTGAACGACCCTTTCCCTTGGTGACGAAGTCAACCACAGATTCAAATCCAGTTGTCAGCAAAGCATCCCCTCTATTCGAAGTTCCAGTAGAGAATGGAAATACACTAGTGAGTGCCGGGGTGCTAAAAAGCCTATGAGGCGATTCGGTGTAACCGCCGGCGCCAGAAGTAGAAATGGCTACGTCCGATGGAGATAGCTGTTCAAAGGCCACACCAGCTGAAGAGCCACCATGCGCTTCAAGACTCCCACCAGCGGAGTGAAGGCTGCCAGTAGATGAACCGTTATCCAACTGTTCGTAAAGATGCGCCACCAAAACACGTAGCTGATTCAACTCAACTTCTTTGGCGCGCTCAGACTCTGTCAACTCGGCCAATAAGTTGCAGCGATCTGCCAACTCGCGCTTCAGCTGTTCAACAATCACTTCACGATCTGTGATCTCTTTGCGCATTGAGGACTCCTGGTTCTTCATCCGTTTCTCCAATGCCAGAAGAGCGGCTGACTCGACCGTCTTCTTGGTAGCCAGCGACCGGCCCATGCCGCCTGGGCCACCTGCTCCGCCTGGTCGGCTGGTAACTTCTGTGTAGAGCTTTTCAACGACACTGTCCACTTTAGCATGCAT